GGTATATGAGAATGTTAAAGTTCTGTTTACTATACAAGCAGAACAAATACACTGGACATAAGATAATCAGTGTTATATACAGAATTCCTGTGAGGGGCAAAATACATCTTCTGAGAAGTTTCCAATGCAGCATTCATTATGTTCTCCAGAGATGATTAAACAAAAGAGTTTGGTCACTGCTTCTTTTTTCCCCCCTAAAAGGCAGAACAAAATTAATACAAAAATTTACCCTTCATAACAGATATGTTCCCAATGTACTATGTATTGTGCCCAAGCACAGAAGTATCTTGTGGGAAGCCGTGTTCAAGGGACTTGTTTAAAATGATTTAAAACAGGTCTATCAAATGGCTTAAAATGTTTTTATGTTCCATTTCTAGGTTTATAAAGCGAGATTATTCTTCAGCAATTTATTGCAGACAGATGGAAAACCTCTAAGCTAGCATTGTAAAAACTTGCATTATTTATACAATGCCTATCATATAAACTGTCTAGATTTTGTACAGTTATTTTGAAAATAATAGTGTACATTTAAAAGAAATCAATAAGTGTGACAATCTGAAGATAAAATAGAAATGCAGATGTGAAGGCTAACGTGATTAACTTCCAGTTTTTAAAAAAATCACACAAGTAGTAAAACAAATGGCAGTGTATAATTGAACTTAAACTAGCAAAGTTTTAAGAGGCCAGGGAGAATACCACTTCCCTGTCTTAACCCCTCCAGAGCAGATATTGTAGATTCTAGTGTCTGGAAACAACGCCTGGGCATGGTGCCATGAATTCACTCTGTCAGAGTCTTTAGAGGCAACTTGTTGCTGAACTACAGCTCCCAAGTGCCCCAGCCAGTGTGGTCAGTGCTGAGGGATATTGGGAGTTGCTCCCTATCACTGATTTATATTGTGGCAAAAGGATGGGCCTTTTCCATTTTCAGTGCTTGCAGACAATGCTTCCAGGCAAAATATACTGTTTCCATCTTCTCCTAGTTTACAGATTTTGGAAGGGAGTGATATAAATAGCAGTTTATGAAGATGCCTAGAAAACCTACCCCAAAGAAGTTTGCACACAATGAAACCCTAACCTGAACCTTTGAGGCTTCACCTAAACCTAAATTTTATATAAAATTGGCCACAGCTGGTAGGCCTTTTCATGTGATGAAGTGGGTAGGGCCGAGGGTGGTATGCAGCTCAAAGTGACTGGGCATTCCAGTCCATTAGGAAATAAAATATATCTCATAATTTGAAATGATAGAGCATCCAGTATGGCATCAGACACTCAGAGAAGGCCTTTTTGACATGAATTGTTGGAAGACTGGGGGCATCATTTGCGAAGAGCCTTGTCTGTGATGCTACTGTCAAAATTGCTACCCCGTAGGAAAGAAGGATTAGAATGACATTTGCTATTCTAATGCCTATAGAAATAGAGTAACTGTGGGTATTGTTTTATCTATAATACAATGTTATGCTACTTCACTGTCATGCTTAACATTTCTGGGCAATATCCATAATTTTTCATTGAAGACTCCAACTTCCTCTTAGCACAATTAGAGATAGATGCATACACTCCCCAAGAAACAGTATGTGGAAGTTCCACACACGCATGTGAGAGCATATGCGTGCATGTACCAAATTTTAATTAAGAACTCGCCCTTCGTACCAATGTGTTCTAAAGTACTGGGTACTGCATCCAGTTGTAGCAACCTAATCTTGCTGTATGTTCATCCGTGACTTGTTCTTAATTCAGGCCTTACAACGCACTGGCCTTTGGACCTCAGATCCACGTCTTCGTGACTGCATGAATCTGATGCGGACAGCGACCCAAGGAGCTAGCAGTGGAGGAATGCTGAGCCGAGAACTTTTTCGGAGGTAGGAATTACATAGAAATGTCCCTGGTGGTGTTGTGGCTGGCCCTTTGCAACTGGAACCCTGATCCTAATGTTTGTTTAACAAAGCATATCAGCTTCTGCAGGCAAATTCAGTCTCTCTGTTGGTCATGTTGCACACAAATTTTGCTCTCTACCTACCACGTCCCTTTTACAGAATTCCTTCTGTAGTCATATTTTCACATCTCCTGTTTGCATCTCTTCCCACTTGATTGTATCTTCTTCCCCTCAGCCCAGCACAATTTTTCATAGCATAAAAACATGAGAGCTGCCTTGGTTAGGCAATATACATGCTAGAGTAGTTAAATTTGCATGTTCAGGAATAGCAAATATGTAATTAATAGGGGTAGCTTGAGAATGTTAAAAGAAATGTCCAACCATTTTGAAAAACCTCCAGTTTTTATTTGGATGTGGTGAATTCCTACTCCTTTCCTAACTTCTGGTTTAAGGGTGGCTGCATTCAAACAACATACTAAGTTTTAATGTGGTATTTTTCACTTGGGCTCTCTGTTGGGTGAACCCAACCAGTGAAGTTTTGTAAATCATGACATAGTCCATTGTGTGAACCCAGCCAATTGTGGCTTAGCCAACAAACTGCAACTAAGCAAACCATCGCACAGTGCAATTCAACCAATATATGGGAAAGGAAGGTAGATTTTGTGTCTTCTTTTTGCTCTGGATTTCATATGTGGCAGCTAGAAATTGTAGGAGGTTATCCAAAAAAGAATTATAGAGGAAGATAGGAGAGGTGATAAATTAGTTAGCATTTAAAAGCTGGAAGCAAGCTTTTAAGTTGGCTAACTTGTTAGATATAGATGTTCAAAGTGCAAGAAAAGAGAAAACATGCTTTTGAGTTGCTTGGTTGATATTGTCAAATCAGCTGGTTTTCAAGGCAAAGAAGCAAGAAGATAAAATAGACATTGCAATTTTCATGTCTGCTTGCATCTGTCTGTCAGACATCCTACTTTCTTCCATTATGAATGCAGCACCATTCAATATTTCATCTATTATTTTGGCTTTCAGGTGTGTGAGCAGCAATATAGTTCTCTTGACCCAGGCTTTCCGAAAGAAATTTGTCATCCCTGACTTCCAGGAGTTTACAACTCATGTGGAGCAAATCTTTGACCGCACCAAAAGACTTCGGGAGGGCAAGGTAAAAAGATCTGACTGCACACAGCAGAGGGTAAATAATATAATTCCTCTGTCATCCTGGAAAAAAAAAATCTGTACAGAAAGTACTCCAGTGCTCGGGTAGAATATGGAAGTGGTGGGTAAGGAGGTAGGGAGGTTGGCTGGCTGGCCTTTGAATTAAGGAGAGAGGTTGTCTTATTTAACCTGTGTGGGAAGAGGAAACATGAATATCTCCCCTTAAGTACCCTTAACCCTTACTAAAATCCCTCTAAAACAGGCCAAAAAAAATTCAGCGTCATCACTTCTTGCGACATCACCACCCACTAGAGAGCTTTCAGTGGCTCTCCAAAAAGTTGAAAGTCTGAATGCTAGCCCCAGTTGTTAAGAAATTGCCCACCTGTTGCTTTAAGCTATTGTTTCCAATCTTGGCCACTTCCAAATGTATGGACTTAAAATTCTGGGAATTCTCGGCAATGGCTGTGCAGGTTCAGGAACTTGGCATGTTTAAAATCCATACATCTGGAAGTAATCAAGGTTGGGAAACATCTCTGTATGCTATATCATAATTTGTTTGGCATAGGCCCATATAGGAGACACCAGTTGGTAAACCAGTTTATTTTTTGTTATACGCAAAAAAAAGAATAAAATGAAACAGTACCCCCCCAGAACAAGCCCACAGTGCATACATCTCTTATTTGCTGAACAAACCTAATCTGAAATATGTATTTGTTATACAATTAAATTAAAGAACGGGTGGGTGTTTTACCTAACATTAGAAAAAAATGGGAAAATAAGATAGCATGTGGACACCTGCTGAAAGAATGCTTGCTCAAATATAGAATAGGAGGTTTGCTCTTTAAACTACCAGTTGAGATTTGATATTCTCCCAGATAGCTTTGTAAATTTTACAGAATGTTAACACCCAGGCACTAATGCTCCCCTTGCTATTTTATATCATAATAAAATAAAACTATAAATCTATGTGGCAGTCTAGATTTCTTCCTCTGCAGGTGGCTTTGTTCATTAACACACTCATGCAGGTTACTTCTCCGAATTCCAGTTTAATCCCACCGTCTCACTGGTGTAGGACAGAGACCAAGGGAAACTTCTTCTACTGCCCTCAGACGGGCCGCAAATGGTTAATGGCTGTCCCCTAGGGCTCGCCCCACATCTGAACAAATTCTCTTTCCTTTTATATAGGTAGCAAATTACATCCCACAGATGGCCAAGTGTAATCCAGACATCTGGGGTGTATCTCTCTGCACGGTGGACGGACAACGGTGCGTACTAGGAACTTGGATGCAAAAAAGGGAATATGTTATGGGATAGGAAAACTAAAGAGCGTGCCAGAGACATTCTGCTTGATTCTGCTGAGTGAGTGTTCAGTATTGGGAGCAGGCCACAGCGCTGGACTCCAGGCCAAGGCTCTGTGCTGTGCAGAGCAGAAATGGCCAGGAAATTTTATTCAGCATGAAGAGCCCCTTTTGGTTTGTGGTCCAGTTAGATGGGGATGGGATTGTAATAGTCCTGGGCAGGAGTGGGGGAGTCTGCTTGGTTTGGGCTTATGGTATTGTAAGCCCAGCCATTGTGGCTGCTTCAGCAATCACAGTTTATCAAATGATAGCTTTATGTGATCCAGTCTTTGGCATGAACTACTCAGGCATACACTCCTGCCTACCTCTTCATCACTATGCTAGTGTTGGCCTTTCAGACAGAAGGGATGATCAAAGGAGGGAAAAGTGGGTGCTCCCAATATTTTGTGATTGGCCAGGTTGTGGTGGCACACGAGAACACCTTTTCAGTCTTCCACATCTACCTTTGGCTCCTCAAATGTTGGAGACTCTGAATTATGGACTCCACTGTGCCCTTAAGTGTCTCATACTGGAGACCTCGGAGACTGACTGAAGTTCAAAGGTCATGCAAATCCTTCACATGCAAGAATCCCTTGGTTTAATTTTTGGCAGCCCCTGTCAGAAATTCTGAAGAGTCTCTGAAGAGTCAATTGGGAGTATAAAACCAGAAGAACAAGTGGTCCAGCTCTGTATAAGACAGTTTCCAATGTTTTGGGAACTGCATTCCAACCTTTGCCCAAATGTCAGGTCACCATGTCATTTGTCATTGGGTTACAGAAGGGGTGGCATTATTTCTCTCCCCCCATCTCCCCTAGGCATTCCATGGGCCACACCAAGACTCCCTTCTGCCTGCAGTCATGCGTCAAGCCCTTAAAATATGCGGTTGCTGTCAGTGAACTGGGCACTGAGAGAGTCCATCAGTATGTCGGCAAAGAGCCCAGTGGGCTGCGTTACGACAAACTCTCTCTCAACGAAGAAGGTGAGTAGTGGAGAGGGGGGATAGGAGACCAAGGTTTAAATCTTTGCACACCCAGCTGTAAAACAGGTGCTGTCCTTTGTCAGCCCCTTCAAGACACTTAAAACCATACTGTGCGAATGAGACCATTCCAGCTGCATTGGAAACAGATATACCTCCAGCCAGTGTCTGAGCCAGGATGCAACTTCTCTTGAGTGACAAACCAAGGTTCGCTGTTGTGTAATGCATATGAAATACTTGTTTTAACCTTCCAGGATGGTAACAGTGTACAAGCACTGGTGCATTGAAAGATGGTATGGAAATCTCCTTTTTCCCTATTAATATCCCCATGGAAAGTAAGAAGGAGAGCTTTTCTCTGAATCTTCGTCTGTCCCATTAAGACTTTTCCTCTTTCAATACCCTTTAAATTCCTTCCAAAATTGAGGCAGATCTTCCCACAGAAACATGCATGATTGCAAGGGAGGAATGAGAACTGCTTACCAACATCATTTTTCTGTGTGTCTGATCATTCAGTAGATGTTTTACAGTCCATTATCTTTAGTTCACTGGTCCTATTTTTTTTTTATTGTGGCTTGGGAAATTCATATATTAAATGAATGGTACTTAACGAGCCTGTGAAAAAGTATGCATCCTTCATTAAAGTAATTGTGGGGTTTTTTTTCCTTCAGTAAAGCCTTCATAATTTGAAATAAAGCCATGGCATATGGAGACAATGATTTATGGTCACATGAAAAGTGAAAACGGTAGTTTATATTATACTGTTAGCAAGGCTATATCCGTCTTCCCCAACTCAGAGCTCCTGCAGATCAGTGGCTTCTATAGTTTCTAAAATGCTGGGTGAGAATTTTGAGAATTGTGGTTCCATCACAGACCTCTTGGTTGGGAGTGTCCTTTTCTTATTTTCTTTTTGTTACTTAAAATTAAGATGAATCCCATAAACTGTGTAAGATCTCCGCAAAATCATTGGTTTTGCTGCCATCATAACACCCTGATCAGGTTTAGAAATTCTCTTTTTCTTGTCTTAGATTTATAAGGCTGCCAAATTAGAAAAACTCCAGGCAGCTTTATTTCTTTATTTCTGAGGTGACATGACTAAAAGGAACATGGGAGAAGATACGGGACAGCCCAGTTACTTGGTTAAGTTCAAAACAAAGAAATGAATGGACGTTCATTAAATAACTTTAAATGGTTCATAAACAAGTTAACTTGATTCTATGGTGTAGTTATAGCCAGTCAATACTTGCTTATCCTGGAACTAGAATCCTAACCCTGTCTCTCTGACTGATGGAGGTTTTCCAGGGCTAAAACTCTCAGCCTCCCTCAGATTTGTCCATCCACCTACACTCCCAAATCCATCATTCCTCAGTTCCCTCCCTTCTAGAATGTAAAGAGAAAGGAGGTGCTCTGTCTGGCCATGCTTTGATTGGCAGTTCCATCTCCCAACCAACACAGATTCCACCATACTGGGAAGGCCAGCGAGTTAGAGAAACCTTAACTGAGGAAGAAGAGGGTGCAGAACTCAAAGGGTCCTGTTTTAATCAATTCCTTTGTATTCAGGGATTCCACACAACCCTATGGTGAATGCAGGGGCCATTGTAGTCAGCTCTCTTATCAAGGTAAGGTTTCTTCTACTACAGAACTGGTATCAGACATGGGCTGGAGTCACCCAACACTGGATGGTATAATATAGCTGGATAGTATAATACAGTTCAGATTAAGGACAGCCTCTGGACTCACTGCACAAATCACTGTAATGTGGTTTGTTTGGTTTTGGCTTAGCTTGTAGCTTGAACCCAGTAGCTACTGTGTTTGGTAAACGATGATTTATGACTTAGTATTCTGTGTGAGTAACCCCCACTAGTGCATAAGGGGCAGTGCATAAAATGCAAAGTCTATGTTGCAATGCATGTTTCATCACCCCTATTCCCCCCACTCCACTCCCTGGAGCTACCTACAAATAATTTTTTGGAAGCTGTGCTCCTTGTTTCCAAGTCAGAAACAACATTTGGGCTATTCTGTAAGGATCAGCTTTGATGTCCTCTGACAAAGATGAATTCTGGTTCCGATTTGTGTTCAGGGTGTGGGATTACAGAGAATTTTGGTTTGTTTGCTGCATTCCAGTCATGGCTGCTATTGCCAACAGGCCATAATATGCCATTGCTACAATGATCTTCCCATATGGTTTTCTTCCTTAGTCAGGCTTGCAGTTCTCCTGCTCTTTCATTCTTGGCCCAAGTTGTTTCACATGGCAGAGGTATATGGAGCTGGAGCCTCTTATCTACTCAAAATTCTCTCAAAGATAAATATTCCTCCATTCTTCTGTCCTACATAAGGTTGAAGTTCTACACAAGATTTAATGGCTATTCTATCCATTTCAAGACCTGATCTGGGATCCCAGTAGTCGTCTTAATTAGAATGTTTAGAATACATTGCTAAACTTATAATGTAGTTCTAAACTTTCTAACAACTTCAATATCCTGGATGGCTACATTTGTCAAGATTTATCTGTTTCTCAGAATCCATCTGATTCTTTTCTCTCTGTTTTTTTTCCTCTTCATCAGATGGGCTGCAATAAAGCAGAGAAGTTTGACTATGTGAGTGTGACCTTCTCTTCTCTGCTGGAAAATTCCATGGTGCCCTTTCTCAGGGTTGAGAGATTGGGTTGGAGAAGAAATTGATCCTCTGGCAACACTGGCTGATCAAACCATTTATCTTGCAATGCAATCCTGACATTTGATTTAGTCTTTTGTTTCAAGATCCCTTAGAAAATTTAGTGATGAAGGGTGAGAAACTTTCAGGATGCAAGGGCAAGCTTTCTAAATGGCAAAGTGACAAGCAGTATATCTGATAGATTCAATTAGGACAAGGATGGGAAACTGTGGCCTGCAGGGGCATTCAGTCCTCCAGCATCCCTTTCGCAATCTCAGGGCATACCTGAAATGGGTAACTTTTGTAACTTGCTTCTTTTTTCTTATTTTTATTTTTTGAGGGGTGGGTGATAAGGGACAAAATGGTGCTAAATTGTAGCATGGAATTAAAAATACTGTCATTAGGCATACAAATAAACGACTGGCAAGAGAAAAAGAAAGATGGGTTAAGGGAAGACTGGAAAGAGCTGGATCATAAAGAGATCCCTTCCAGATGCAGCTTTTGTTTCTGTTCTAGGTGGTGGATTACTTGAAGATGATGGCTGGAAATGAATATGTGGGATTCAGCAATACCACGTAAGGCACATGCATGTGTACATGTGTTTGTGTGTGTGTGTGTGTGCATGGAGAGCCACTGCTACTCCCATAAGAGGAGCTAATGGGTTTGCTCTTAGAGCACCTAACAGCATGTCAGGTTTCATTTGAATGATAGTTCTCCAAACGTGGACATTCAGAGGTGGGGAGGAATGAGGATTTGTACATGCCTCTTTACAGGTTTCAGTCGGAGAAAGAAACAGGAGATCGGAATTATGCCATTGGCTACTATCTCAAAGACAAAAAGGTAATGAGAGGGAAGGTGGGAGAGAAACCCTGGGCTTTCTAGCAGACCAGGATCAGTGCAATCTCGTTTGGTGAATGAAAGAAACCTCCCACACTGGGAAAGATCCACTTTGCCAAGGTCTGACACAACTTTATTTTCTTTGGTCCCGACTTGGCAGTGCTTTCCACGTGGTGTGGACATGATGGCAGCTCTTGACTTGTACTTCCAGGTAAGTTGCATTTTGAACTGCAGCTGGGCTGGAGATTTGGGTCCAAAGCAATCCTTTTGAGTTTGAGAGGGTTGGACCCAGGGAAATAATCCATTTCAGGATTAATAATCTTTTTTTTTTTTTAAGTAAATATTACAGGACTGGATTGGAGTTTGGTGCCTTGTTGCATTTTTTAAAAATTCCTCTAGATTAGTATCTCCCAGGCCAGTGTCTACAAGATGCATTATGCTATAATCTCCATCATCCCCAGCTAGCAGATCCTTGGGCCTGACAGTTTAGGTTTATGCATATGGCAGGCATCAGGTCAAAGAGGTTGATTCTGGATATTTAGCCAGCACCCTATTCTTTGTTCCTGCATATGCTACTCTTCCACCTGAAGAGAGACCTTCAGACAGGCAGAATTCACATATGCAATCCTTAGTTTTTCAAAAAATATTGTATCAGGTGCTTTCTCTGTTTAAATCAGCTCTGCGTATAGATCCTGAATTTCCACTCCAAGCAGAGGTTAGGAGCCATTTCTAGGTTTCTTACTACCATGTTATTATAATTAATTTCTCTTTTTGAAACACTTTTCCCGCCGCTTACGCAGTTGTGCTCTGTCGAAGTGACTTGTGAGTCTGGCAGTGTCATGGCAGCCACGCTTGCCAATGGTGGTATCTGCCCTATCACAGGCGAGTGTGTCCTCAGCGATGAAGCCATCCGCAACACCCTTAGCCTCATGCACTCTTGTGGCATGTACGACTTCTCAGGGCAGTTTGCCTTCCATGTAAGTTTCTGCTCTGTTTTGGGTGGGTTGGAAGGAGAAATAAATAGTAGTCAGCATCCAGAAAGGGGGTAGGACAGCTGATATCAGTGGGAACTCTCTTCCAAAGGACTGTTGAAATGGTCAGATGAATCAGGTGCTACTGAGGATCACATGAGCAAAGGAATACTGTATCTCTGAACAGGAAATGGAGCAGAATCAACACTTTTGCAAGCTCATATACTATGCTGGGGCCTATGCCTTGGGCTAAGCCATGGCTTGCTTCATTTAATACATTTAAATTGCCTGGGTTCAAATGACATAGTCAACTAAAACCAAATAAGCTACATTATAGTATGAGGTGTGAACCAGATCTAGGCAGCCTGTACCAGCTGCCTCACTTTACAATTTGGCTGACACAGATATTCAAGATAAGCAGGAAATGGTTCAGTTTTGTCTGGAGAGGCTTACGTTCATGCTGGAGACTTGGGGTCAGAGGAAAACATTTTTGCTGTAAAGGCCTGAGGCTTAAGATGCTGTAGGATACCTCTTGGCTTGTGTATTACAAGTGCTGATCTCAGCCCATGTTCTGACAGTTGCATGCTGGCATTCTCTGGCAAAATATAGGGCACTTCTCAGATTTATGCAATACAGTCCCCTCTCTTGGGTACTTGTCTCTGAAAGATAAGTAGCATCTGTCCACTCTCCTCAGTCATCTCCTAAGACCTGGCATAATGCTTTGCAAAAGAGGGACAACCAGAAATGCACCATCCTTAAAAATAGAAATATGTGTAGTAGATCAGAATTGTGGTTACTTATATACAGATCCACTCCTGCTTTCAGAAATGCTTCTCTCTAGTGCTATTTTCCTGCTCCATCTGCATGGCAATAGCCACCAGTTTCATTTTCCCAGCCCAGCCCAGCATGAAATGTAATTTTGCACTAGGCAAAGCCTAATTTACACCTGCAAAGAGGTTCCAGAATTAATCGTACAACTGGAACATACTACAAATTGGGCATCTTTTTGCCTTTTGCAGGGATCCACTTTATTGCTTTTCTGCAGTTATACTTGGTTTAACACTGAATAGGAGGAAAGGTTTTGAGATACTTAAAATGTGACTCATTGTACTCTTTATGTAATCTCTCGTCCTCACTTCCAGGTTGGTCTTCCTGCCAAATCTGCGGTCTCTGGGGCCATCCTGCTAGTAGTGCCCAACGTTATGGGAGTGATGTGCCTGTCACCCCCTCTGGATAAAGCTGGCAACAGCACAAGAGGAATTGGGTTTTGTCAGGCAAGTTTTATAAAACTATATAAACCATAGGACGAGCCATTTTAAAAGAGCCTGTGAGTGCCATGGTGTGGACTGGTGACACAGCTGGGTGGATTTTGTGCAAACCGCTCTCCCAGTCTCCATTTCTTATGAGTAACACTATAATCAAGATAGAAATGGAAAAGCCCTCTCCACATTATAGGAAGGTTAATCTGAAAAAAATGACATAATCGATATATTTGTGGCATTATTTACATATTTTATGTCATAACCATGAAAACATACCATAATTAACATCTAGAAGAAAGTACAAATATGTTTACCATGAAGCACTTTATGAGTGTACAGTTTTCAGACTCAGACATCTGGAGGGAAGATAGGAAGAGCTGAGGTCCCAAGCTTTTTGTATGCCAAATCTCCATCAAACTACTTGTTTCTCCCTTGTGGGAGATCCAAATGTATTTTGTGTTTAATTCTTAGAAAGAATTGATTATATTGGTGTTGGTAATCAAGGTGGTGTTGATTCTTAGAAACTACATAATAGACCTTTTCCAGGATAATCTCTCCCCAATTTGGCCCTTCAGTTCTTCCAATGATGCACCCATCCCTACTGAAATTGAATCCATCAACCTTGCTACTGGTTGTCTTTTCTTTTCTTCCACTTTTCCCAGCATCTTGGATTTCTCAAGGGAACTAAGTCTTTGCATAACATATCCAAAATATAAGTTGAGCCTCAGATGAGAACTCTGGATTGATTTGTTCTGTGATCCATTTGTTTGTTTTCTTGGCTATCCATAGTATTCTCAGAAGTCCTCTCCAACACCAAAGTTTGAAAGTGTCAATATTCTTTCTATCCTGCTTCTTCAAAGTCTGACTTTTGCTTCCATACTGTCACAGGGAAAACAATTTCCTGCATGATTCTGATCTTTTTAGGTATAGACACATTGTGGCATCTGAATATCTTTCCCAAGGCTTTAATTTCTATCCTACCAAATGCTAGTCTGTAGTTTATTTCTTGATTGCTAGCTCCTTTACAGTTGATTGTAAATCCTAAAAGGCAGAAGCTATCTATCTCCAGTCACTGTGAACGTTGGTTGCTTTACTTATTAATAGCGTATTCTTCTTTATACTGTACTTAATCCAATTTTTTCCTCATGCTCCTTGACTTTCTTCACTAGAGTTCTAGATCATTTGCATTTTCAGCTGTCAGAGTAGTGTCATCGACTTAGTGCAGGTTAGTGAGGTTTCTTCTTCCAATTTTAAAACCGCTCTTGTCTTTTTCCAATCCAGCCTCCCTCATTGTATATTCAGCATATAGGGTGAATATGTAGAAGAGAGTCTACAACCTTGTTTCATTTCTTTATCAACCTGGAGTCTGTTTTACCACGTTCTGTCTGGACTGAGGCTTTCTGTCCTGTATATAAGTTTCACATGAGGATAGTGAGATGATTTAGGATTCTGTTTTCCTAATGACATTCCACAGGTTGCCATAGTCAATAGTATAAAAAGCCTTTCTGTAATCAATGAAGCACATATTGACTTCTTTCTGATATTATTTGGATTTTTAGATTCTCCAGCATTTCTCAGCAGTATTGCCTCTTGATTCTCAGCTTTTTTCTAAAATGAACTTGAACATCTGGCATTTCCCTTTCCACAAGGGGCTCTAATCTGCATTGGATGATCCTGAGCATTATTTTGCTAGCATGTGAAGTTAAGGATACTGTGCAATAGTTTGCACATTTTGTTAAGTCTTCTTTCTTTGGTATTACTATTGGAAGACTGACCTCTTCCAATCCGTTGGCTAGGGTCTCATTCTTCAGATCTGCTGGCATAGTTTGGTTAGAACCTTTACTGATTGCTCTTCCATTGTTTGCCATATTTCTGTAGCTATTTCATCAATTCCTACAGTCTTTGGACTTGGTAATGACCAGAGTGTTGATCTAACTTCATCTTCTAGTACTAGAGGTTCTTGTAAGTAGGGAATATCTACTAAGGCAATGGTTCTTAAACTGTTTGACTCAATTACTCCTTTTCCTGGTCTCAAATGTCATTACCCTCATACACACAACCCCTCCCTCGACTGTCGTTTTACAAAAGCATTTTGGCAGCGGGAGTTCCAAATTGGAACATCAAGTCACTAACAAGCAAATACAAATTGTTTAATTACTCCCAAGATATGTCCAAATTAGCCTCTTGGAGGTAAATACCCCCAGTTTAAGAACCACTTTTCTGTGGTATCTTGAATGTTGATATCTCTACTGTATAAAATTTTGATATACTCCTTCCATCTTTGAATCAATTACTAGGAAGCATTACAGGGTCCATGTTATGACTTTCCATTTGTGTCCCATTTTTATTCTTCTTGCTTTTTGACTATCATTTCTCCAGGAATTGGTGTCTCTCTTCAATTTCCATAACTATGACAACTTGCTACACTGTACCCGCAAGATGGACCCACGCCGTGAAGGAGATGAAGTTAGGGTAAGAAACAAAAGGTCCTCATGATGGAAAGATTTAAGTGGAGGAAGATGGAAGAGATACTCAAAGGACTTAGAGGGATAGAATAGCAGAAGCAGGTGAATAGCCCAGGGCTTAGGAGGCATAAAAGAGAGAGGAGATTTTATCAAGAAACTGGTGGACCTGAAATCCTAGAGAGCACAGAATAAAGGTTGCCAACTAAGAAAAGGGAGGCACTCAATTCAGGACTGTACAGTAGTTGGAAATAAGGGACATCTTTGCCTGCTTGGTGTCAAGAATGTATTCATGCATTCAATAGTCACCCACTCTTGTACAGATTTGGGGGGCTACAATAATTAAATATGGAAATTAAAAAGAACAAACATATCATGCCTGGTAATAACAATCTAACACAAGATAAACAAGACAGTCTCAGCTAACAACATATCCCAATATTAATTTTTATCTAAAATATTTATAGACTGCCCTCTGTCCAAAGGATCTTATGGCACATTGCTGTCTACTCAGTCTGTTGGAAAAACAGCTACAGGTCTCTGTGCACAGCAGTAAAATTCAGGAAGTTTAAGAGGGACAGTAACCCAGCCAACTGTGGCTCTTGACACCAGAAAGGTGTTCTTCTCAACCTGTGAATGGTTGCCTCCCCCCAGTCCAGATCAGAAGTAGTTTTTCTGTGGTCTCTGGAAAATTAGAGTACAATCTGCTCTGGATGCCAACTATAGCTCTAATTTGCCACCTTTGTTGTGTTCTTACTGCTACAAATAGGCTGGAGAAGTGGGTGCGCAGGGATGCCTTTCCATCCTCAATTCATCAGTTCATCAGTCCCAACAGTTCATCAGTCAATGGTGTACAGAGGGACTGTGAGGAAACAACTCAGAAACCAGCACTGCCTGAAACTATCAAGATGTACAAACATGTCTTTCTTCATTCTAGCCAGTTAGAGGCTTATTTTATCTATATTCTAACCCAGTTGTAGAAGATTTTGCCTAGGGGTATATATTTGCAGTATTTCATTATGAGAGTTTTTAAAAGCCTCCAGAATCATGAAAACTAATCATTGTAAACCAAATATGTTGAATAGACTTCATTTCATATTTTTCAGAACAAGACTGTTGTGAATCTGCTGTTTGCTGCCCACAGTGGAGATATCTCTGCTCTTCGGAGGTATGACCGTACTCATCTAGGGAAAGATGGTGCTGGAGAGAGATTTCCAAGAAATGGCATTCAGAAGCAAATCTGAATTTTCCTCCCATGACATTTGACCCTGTCCTCTTGGCTTCCTTCTAGATTTGCTCTGTCAGCTATGGACATGGAACAGAAAGACTATGATTCCCGCACGGCCTTGCATGTTGCTGCAGCTGAAGGTATCATGCCCAGGATGTAAATGTGCCATGGTTTCTAGGCACCTGCTCTAAATCCACATTTGCACGTGCAGGCTTGCACAGTTTAAACACCTACCAACCTTTCTGCGATTGGTGTCTCACTGGGGTTCATCTCTAACAAAAAGTGGGGGGTTGTGAAGGGAAGGCAATGCTGTCATTCATAAGTTCAATATAATATTGCTCCATCGCTATTACCCAGTGTGCTCTTTAAGACTATAAGCCATCTTAAAAAGCAAAGAGTATTGGATCTGGGGGAAGGAGACTGTTTTATGAAAAGTATCAGTAAAAGGTGAAAAGTATCTAGTACAAGGTGAAAACCAGACTGTCACTGAGGGTTAGGGTTAGGGTTTGGGAATTTCCCCACATTTAGATCTCTCTAAAAATGCAAAGCAATTTCAGGTGTAAGAGGAAATTCTGTATGCTGCCAAGCATTTATTATGCAATTGCTTTGCCTCAAGCAGATGTCATAATCTCCATTGGTATCCCTTCCATGTTTTTTCCTACTACCAAACAAAACAACAAAGAAAGAAAAAATAAAATAATTGTTCAGTGCCATTTGACTGGGACTCCTAGAAGCTCAACACTTACACCTCCAACTGCAAATTGTACCCAGATTTGCAAAGATTTCTATTAAGCAAGTTTAAATGCTGTAATATTTCTGTCTCCAGGCTGGAGAAATTTTCCCAGACATCGATATATTAAAAGGGAGTTTTCTTTTAAAAAGTTTTAAAAGTAAAGGTTTAATAAATCATGCTATCCTCCAAAATAAAAAAACTCACTTTTACAGCAAGCATGGGACCTCTAATTGCACAATCGCAATTTCCCCAAAACACATTTCCCAAAAGATGGTATAAGCATGCTGGAAAAAAAATGTATTGGAATAACTCTTGATTTGTCAATTCTCCTGGGTTGTGTTGGTGAACACCAACAGATTATTTGGAAATCTGCATCCTGTAGTGGGAGGTTACATAGCTGAACCACAATCATGTTCCTGAAATGGCTACTTTGAGGAAGTGACTTGCTTGGTAATCACCTTTCTTCAGTCCTGCTCCTTGAAGAACTTTTAGACTAGGTTACATGTAGCATGATTTGTTGGGAATGGTTCAAAAATTCATCTTTGGGAATGGGCAGGAAGAGCCTCTTTTTGAACTGCTCGCTTTATGATTCTCCACAGGACATCTGGAGGTTGTGAAGTTTCTGATGGAAGCCTGCAGAGTCAATCCTTTTGTCAAGGACAGGTGAGGAACAAATGGGCTGATCTTGCTTTGTACTTACAGAATTATAAAATCCTAGACCCACTTCTCCCTGTCTAAGCTAAAGACAGGGACCTTATTTTGGCATAAGGAACTGTTTCCAGCAGCAGCTGCCTCTAATATACTTCCCCTCTCTCTGCCTAGTACTCCCTGATCAAGTCAGTATCTTGATACCTGTTACTCAAGAGGTTTGAGTACTCATAACCTGTTTTAGGGCCAGTTGGCCTCTGCTGGAATAGAACTGTAGACAAAATAAAGTTTGGTCTGATCCAGCATGACTTTTGTGACATCCGTGCATACCTAAAGGCCTCAACTATAATTTAGTTTCTCTCTCTCCTTTACTTGTGAGAAAAGGATGCATTACAGTTGGTGATCTGGAGTAGAGAAAAGATAGGTTCATATAATGCTAAACATAGTGTATTTTATTTCAGTTTAATATGCTTCGTAAATACAGAGTGTTGGGCAGCCTCTATATTCTTCCCTGGAATATCAGGAATTGCCCTAACAGTACAAAAGCTGTCAGATGAGTTGCCCCAATAAAGTTTTCCATAACTTTGGGGAAATGCTATCACCTGACAGATCATGCTTTTTGGAGAAAGATTTTCATCAAATCAGATTGCTTAGGGAGAAGTTACACTCTCCTAGTGCATGCAATATGATTTGATGCCCCAGAAACACATAGCCCTCCTTGTTTCATAGACCCCTTTCTCTAGTAACATTTATAACATAGTAATTTGAGGAGCCCATATAAATTGTCCTAGTTTTAAGCCAATAGGGATCATTGATCCACCACTACTTACTTTTGATCTGCTTATTTGAGAAAGTGGCAGTTCAAGCTTTCAGTTGCTCCTCATCACCTAGAACAGTCTTCTCCATCCTGGCATCTTCAGCATATGCTGGGAATGCAGTTCCCAGAACTCTTAATTACTATGGCCTTTAGCTAGAAATGTTAAGAGCTGTAGCCTCAACACATTGGAGAGCATCAGGTTGAGAAAAGCTGCTCTTGGCAGACAGCAGCTATACACATCTTCATAAAGTTGCCTTTTCTGCAGGTGGGGTAACATTCCCTTGGATGATGCCATCCAGTTTCATCACCTGGAAGTGGTGAAGTTGCTCAAGGATTATCAAGAAAACTACATATTGGGGTCCAGACAGGCCAAGGAAGCAGCTGAGGACCTCTCCAAGGAGAATTTGGAAAGTATGGTGTGAGAATGGTAGTTTCCACGTTTGCTTTATTTTCTCTGTTTTTACTAGTTGATTGTTCTCACTTCTGAAAGGAGTGTAACAGTAAACATGCTACTGCTAAGGACTTGAAGAAGAGAGACATGGAAAGAGAGAACTACATTCTCCTCATTCTAAGCTCCTCCATCCTGTTGAGCAAGGTGGAGTTGTATTTTTCCGTAACAGTCTTGTACAAGAGACTCCCTGGTGAACTCTGTATGAAAGCTCAGTACTCCCCTTTGACAGCACAAGTAAACTTGATAAAATCTCCAGAAACTGAGTTAATAACTTTTGGTGAGAGACTAATTTTAGCTGCAGAAAAGGTTCATGGGGTCACGAAGAGTCGGACATGACTTAACGACTGAACAACAACAAAAAACCATTTTGGGTTGCCTGACAATCCAAGCAGCTATTACTAAAAAGGCTGAAAGCATTTAAGCAAAAAGGATTCTTCAATTCCTTAAATTTTCTAACTGAACGAAGCCCCCACAATGAATATTTTCATTTTCTCCACTATGAATCGATCCTCTCCCATGTCCAACCATTCCCCCAACAGGTACTTGAGCAAGAAGGGAAAACATACTTGTCTCTGCTGGTTTCAACAAATTCTGTCTTTTGCCTGCCCCCACCTTCAAAAATAGTCAACCATTCCTGCTATTACAGGATACACTCCCCCTCCTACACCCACACCATCTGGGAAGGCTGCAGGGCAATCTCTTGATAATACAGCTACGCCACTGGAGGGTGTGGCGATACAACTGTTGCTTTCCAGGGAGTTGGTTTTTAAGGTGCAGTAGCTGATGGCCAAATTAGAGATTTAGTGCATCTGTTTTGCTTCTTGTTTCCATAAAAACTGCATGTTGTCAAATCTGGGTTGTGTGATTTGGTAGAATGTTGGGGGCTACAAAAAGGGAATGCAGTCTATGCATTTCCCAATTCTGTTTCATTTGTTAGAAACTATACAATGTATTCTGTACCTGGGAGAAAAACTTTTCAGTATGACACGGTACAATTTCTTTTAGTTTAGTGTTCTCGTTGTGGCATCTAAAAAGTGAATTACTGTGAGGTAAGGAGCATGCAGCAAAAAGATACATGCTTACCTCAAGCAATTCTTGGCATGTTTGTTAAGAGAGAATAAATTGGTGAAGATGTTAACACTTTTAAATCTAGAAGGCTTGGATAATAAACCTCGCTCTAGCTTTCCAAGAAGGTCCAAGGGCTTAAGAAGGAAGTCAACTTGAGATGGCTAAGTAACAAGTAGTAGGGAGTTTCAATCTCTTCAGTGTTTGAAATGCTGAAGGTGTCACGTGCAGTCACAACATGACTGCTGTGATACCTGCAGCCACTCACAAACATCCATTTTCAGAAAGCCAAACTCAAGAGACTAAAAGTAATTTACACAAGCAACAGAATGGAAAGCGAAAATGGGGAAATAGCTTTCAAACATGTATTTATTCCTTTGCTCTCTCATATTGAGGGCCACTACCTCAAACTCTTTTGTTCTCACTCCAATCATTCATTTCTCTCCTCCTCCCCTAAAAATTAAATTAATCATAGGTATGGGAAAAGATACTGTCAGGACTGTTGATAACTCTGGGTCCTTACCACCAGATGTAGAAAACTACTGCTTAATCCTAAGCCTATGTATTGTCACTTGAAATAAGTCCACTTGAATTCCAGAGGGATAATCTGTGTAATCGCAATGGCCTTCTAGCATGGGGGAAGATGTTCTGTCAGCTGCTGAAATGGCACTGCCATTTTTCTTGCACCTCTCCTTTCAGCAGCTATTCTACTGCTCCAGTAAGAACCACTCAGAGACACTGTAGAGTGGCAAAGAAATACCAGTCATAAACCAGTCGCCATGGAACAGGAAAAACTGAAACCTTGAAGGAGTATAATGCTACTGCTTCACCACTTGCACTTCACCACTGCTGCCAGACTGACACTTCTGCAGGGCTGGTAGGCTAGTTTGTCCATCTAGACTTTTTAAGTGCTGCATACATTTTTTATCAGAAGATTTCCAAATGGTGAATATTTTCAATCAAAAGTCCAGATAAAAATTTGTTTTAGATGCATTTATTTTTACTGATTACAATATTATCAACACAGCATACAGGACTGCTCTTACTACATCCAGCACCCATAAAAAGAAAACACTGCTTAAATATTTGTTGACCTCAGCTAATTTTTACTATGGTGATTGTAATCAACTGTGTCATTATCATTCCTTTACCGTGGTTGAACATATGTATCAGCAGATGTACATTGGGTTGACTCTTGTTCCTTCAATCAAAGTAGGACAGGATGATCTTGGGCTTGTATTAATAAATTAATTCCTATAACACTGATTTGTGCACAGTAATGTTTATGAATTCAGGAGAGTTGGATTTCCGCTGTTCATGAGATGCCATCCACTTAGATCCAAGCTAACTTGTTCTCCCACCACACCTGTAGGAGGCAATAGTTCCTTTGTGTTACAGATCACTGTTCTTATCGAAATGGAAGTGTCCTTCAGATATCTGAAAGCTTGAGCAAATGCTTCTAATGGGAAAAGGAAATCTTTACATAATTAAAAGGTATGAGATAAGGTACCAAATGGGGCATCTGATCATATAGACAATAGCTGCTTAAAAACAGCTTGTTTTTTCAAGCAAACGTAAGTAAATCTTTTCCTGACAAACCAAAGTGCCAGAGCAAGATAAATGTGCCACAGGTAAAGGTTGGCAAATTTCACTCACAAAAGGCAAGGAAACAGAGGTCTAAGAGCATTGATCCATTGCTGAGTCAAAACTTACATTGTTGTAAAGTGAAATATATTTCAATCTGCTAGGAAGAAATATGTTATTTCCTAAAGGGAGATTGGATCGGGCAATGAAAACCTCTGGATTCTAATATGGCAATCATATTTGGGGGGAACTTGCTCTTTTGAGTAAAAAAATCCAATCCCAGTAAGTATCACCACTCTTAAATAGAGTTCAACTTTGGTTGAGCTTCTCCGGTATATCCAGGCCTGAGTGGGTTAGCAATTCACCATCCCAAAGGGCAAAGGCAGGTACCACAGGACCTTGGAACTCTGGAGACATATTGTGGATTAACTTGTGTTGTTGTATATCTACCAAACTAAATCTTTGGTGGTCATAGTCCAAGAATAGGCCCACTCTTTCTGGTTGGCCAATGTTAGTGATTGGAGTGGTTTCATTAGCAAACATGGCATTCCAGCAGCGATTACCATAGGCAAAGACCCAGGAGTGGTCATCCATTCCAATGCAGACTTCCCGGGAGATGTCCACATCTGCCACCCCAATGCGGAACTGTTGAGATCGTTTCACAGTCACTTCCCAGTAATGGCAGCCCCTGGAGATGGCGGTGTCACCCAAAACTACAGCCCAGTCTCTGAAGCGTTCAGGGTTTTGGGGAACTCTGGTGGGGTCAATCCCCAGCATGCGATAGAGGACACCGGTGTCCTTTTTGAACAAATCCAAGCTGCTGTGGGCTGTTTTCTCATCTAATTTGAAACTGATCTCTGCAATAAGAAAAATATGTATAAGGACCAAACTTCTGCCTTACCTTTATATGTGACTCTTTGTCCAGATGACTAGTAAACAATTTACCAATTCCTGTTGACAGTGGCACATTTCTACTAATCATTTAATAGTGTAATATTTTGCCTAACCAGTCTTCCTAATCTGGTATCCTCCAGATATTCTGAGAACTCCCTGAATTCCCAACTAGCACAGCCAAAGGCCAAGAGTCCTAAGAGTTGCAATTTAAACTATCTGGAAGGTATGAGACCAGGAAAGTTGCAATAGATGATGATTACTTTTAGTAAATGCATCTCTTTCATCCAATTAAATATATTTAGTTGAATAAGTTAAACATATCAATTTACATACAGTTATAGTTCAAAAATATTTTTCCTTAACATTATGCATCTGCCCTTTATAACTAGAATTATTTTAGAAAAGGCTTGCTATAATATGTACGTGCATAATCCACATTTTTAAAGATTTCATAGTTAAAATTATTCCAAATATTATTCCAAATATTGCCAACTAAATGGCAATACATTTATAAAATAGCAAGCTTTATCAGGAGCCTACATCTTCTGTAGGGTTGATTCCTACAAGTGCCACAATTGTTAATATGCTAAGTTGGAGGGAATGCAGTATTTTGGAAGGGAACGCCCATCTGTGCCATATTGAAAATCTTACATACATACATGCATGCATACAACTTGGATATTACCCAACTCTCAACAACTCTGGGCAGCTCACAACAATCCAACAAATGGAATGGATAGCAGAGAAGCATAATCTATGAAAATGCAGCACTATTGAGAAGCTATGGCAGGACATTCATTATCTGATAACAAACATTTAATATTTTAAAAGATTTATGGCTATATCTCACTGGAAGTTGGAAACTCTGCAGTAAAATATAAGTAAATAAGTTCACCTTCTAATTTGTCACTAAATAAAGCATTTTATTTAATAAATCAATTTATATGGCCACCTATCTTACGGATGCAATTTTGGGTGGTTCACAACACATTACAAACAATAAAAGAGAACAATATCAATAGAACATTAAAAAATTACAGTACAGTAGTTGCCAAGAATAACCCCAAAACATTCAGGAAAACTAGGACAACTCATGGACCATCTAACATTCTGACCCGCATGCCCTGGAGCACATCCAGTTCTTCAATGCTTTACGAAGAGCTGGTCAGATCAGGGCCAATCTAATCTTGGGGGTGTGGGGGTGATGGTGTTCCAGAAGGCAGAATACTTTATTTGTAATCATTACTTTTCCATGTCAGCGTATATAAGGGTGGAAGATTTTTCATTATGGACAAGTACCCAGATGTTGGCAG